TGTGAGTAAATCATTAACTTTGTTCAAAAAACTGAGTGGACTATCTTACTAACCTTTGATAAAATTTGTGTGTTTACAAGAGACTTTATACACATTCATTATTCTTTCACCAAAGATGGTGTCCACAGCGCACTCAGTCTCCAAATTTGCTCAACCTTTCAAATTTACCGTGGTCTGTATTAGTGGAGTAGGGAATAGTGAATGAGAGTATAAGAGTCAATTTCAGATACAGCCATTGACTCGTTACATGTACTTTAAGGCTATTGGTTTGTGCTATGGTCTTTGAGGGCAGGAAAGCAGCCGAGCGATTCAAAAGGGAGATTGCCTCAGTGAGAGACAAGATACAAGAGAATGAAAAAAATCAAAAACAGCACTAGATAAAATCATATCTGCTTCCCCACACACAACAATGTATGAAAATCAATATCTGTTTAGTAGAATCATAACTCATCAAATATGAGCAAAATTTTTAAAAAAAATCTGTAAACACCTCCCTATGAACTTTATCCAGACATCACTCATTTAAAGATTAATGGCTTTTATTTAGCTCCACAGTCCTCCTGGGCAAAAACAGTCATTTAATTTAAAAGAGAAGACATTATCAATTTTATCTCTGACCGTTGTGATAACTGACAACTGAAGGCCAAAGTATACGTCGGCCTACGTCATTTTCGTCATCAAGAGGGCTCGCGGACAGCCGCGCACCCCATCTGTGTGCAGGCAATTTTTTGAGACCGCGCGGACGGTGCGTGTACAACAGCGCATGCGCGAGGTGAATGTTGAGACAAGTGGTACTGCGCATGTGTCGAGCTCGTCCGTTGCCTTGTCCAAATACCCACACTTGTGGTCTTTGCACTCACTTGACTACTTATATGACGTATTTCCTATTTTTGGTCAAAGTGTTCAAATGAGCATGAAGACCACAAGTGTGTGTAGAACTTTTCATTACCTGATAGGACACACTTAGGCTATAGTGTTGTAAAAATGCAAGTGTTTACAGAGCTTTATTTTTTATTTTCAATACTTTGCATTTTAAAATCAACTTCTAAATGTCTGTTCAGTGTCTCTATAACAGATTACAATTAAATTTTGTGGTGCTTCTAATTAAGTGATAAAAAGCAGTTGCAAATGTTGTACAAAATAAATATCACCACTACTCATTTGCACCAATAAAACGTGCAACCCTTTGTTTTAGTACAAAATTTATATGTAATATCTAATTATCATTCATATTTAACATACATTGGAAAGGATTCCGTGACCTCTCGCGAGATCTCGGCAAAAAGTCTCATGATTTATTTCCAGAACATGATGCATGATGGGATACACTAAGCCTTATTTATTATGGATTTAGTGTGCGTTAAGGGCACTGCGCTCTGGCGTTTTTAAGACCTGGGACAGTCTTGCGCACTTACTTCCTGTCGCGCGCACGCGCTCTGAAGTGGCCAAGACCGCAAATGTGGGTATTTGGACAAGGCACGTCTGCGCTCATCCGCGGTTGAGTATACTTTGAAAGCTGTGCACGAGACGGAATGAAACGCGGAATGTGAAGTATACCCGGGCCTTGATGCTCTAGAAAAAAAAGAAAAAGAAAATTATAGTAAGCTGGTAATTTCTTAGCTGAAAAACTGGCACTTCGGAATGGGTGGCAGTGAGACGTCTCTCCAAAGTGCACACCATAGTTTCATTACCCCTCGTCTATTCCCCTGTAGGCCAGCTGCCATGCCAGCTTGGACCCTGTTAATGCTCTAAAACGGGAACATAATTTCAAGGTTTCCGGGAATAGCCTGCTCTTTCCGGCCTTTTTATATTTATTTATTTTATCCAGAGTCACCTGTCGAGTGGCTGTGATTATGCATGCATGACTGGGCCTGGGCCATGCAAATCCACCGGGCTCTTTCGCAGAGGGCTCACTGACCTGCTTCCTGCTTTCATCCCGCCTCTTAAGTACCGATCACAAATGGCCAGGAAAGTGCACACCATAGTTTCATTACCCCTCGTCTATTCCCCTGTAGGCCAGCTGCCATGCCAGCTTGGACCCTGTTAATGCTCTAAAACGGGAACATAATTTCAAGGTTTCCGGGAATAGCCTGCTCTTTCCGGCCTTTTTATATTTATTTATTTTATCCAGAGTCACCTGTCGAGTGGCTGTGATTATGCATGCATGACTGGGCCTGGGCCATGCAAATCCTCCGGGCTCTTTCGCAGAGGGCTCACTGACCTGCTTCCTGCTTTCATCCCGCCTCTAAATACCGATCACAAATGGCCAGGAACTAAATAAACAGCACATGAAAGGCGCAGAGCATGGAGGAGAGGGGCCACATGGCTAAACAATCCCTTCCCTATCCTGTCGTAAACAGCTTGGAATGTTCACGCAGAGCTGAGCACATTCACCAATGCCTCAACAGCACTGTCTGTTATGCAAATGAGCTGGATTTCATTTCTATTCCACTGTTCTCAATAAAAATATTAATATTACCCGGCCTGGTCTGTGTGTTTACTTGGCCCCTGTCTGGAGGCTCTGAATGCTAATATATTTGGCTACAATTTAAATATTGATATACAGTTTAGTGAACTACAGTGAAGATCATATAGTACATACAGCTGTCTGAGGAAATATACTTTAAAAGCAGGTGGGGAAGGACAGGTATAATAGATAATAGAGCATTTTGAATGACAGGTACACTGCGTGTTGCAGCAAACTGTAAGGGATTTTTCATTGAACAAATAAGCGAGTATATTAAGAAAACATTGTGATTAAGCAGGAAAAAAAATTGTATGTGGGGTATTTGTTAATGACTAATTATTATTATCATTACTATTATTATTAAATATTGTTAGTATTTCTCTTTTTTATTTTCATTATTGTTATTACTATTTCTCTTTTTTATTTTCATTGTGAGAGTTATTGTAATTCTGGTTTAAAACTCCAAAATAAAGTATTCCAAAAAAAGTTTTACTCATATATATCTTACATTAAACATCGTGGGACCAAACTGGCATCACATGAATGCTTGTCTGAATGCTATTAGCTTTACCTCTGTAATCACTGGCCTATATAATCATTAACAATTTCGTTAACTGAAATCATGACTAACTGAGAAAATCACATTTCTATAATGCTATTTGTCACTGACATAATTAAAATAGCTACTACTACTTTTAACTTGACACTGGACAAATGCAAAACAATTCACAATGTAATGGCCAACGGCATTTGTTTCTTTGAAGAGGATTTAAAGGCACACTGACTCTGAGAGGGTTTTATCATGCAAACAACTGAAGCACATCACATCAGGCACTAAAATATCATACATTTTTATCCATTAATAAAAACAAAAACACTAGATGACCTCTCTAATTGCTGTTGAATGACTGGTGGGCTAGTCGACCACCGTGATCCATGTTAAATATGAAATGGTTAGATTATCTGACCTATTTCTGTGTCTGTGCCCTGCCAATTACAATCTGAGAGGAGAAGTTGATATATGTGTGTATTCCTGTATGCATCCATGTTTCCCTGAAGCGTTCCCTGCCACATACAGCATACTAATTCAAGTCTTTCATTCATATTCATTGTACAGAAAATTGCTATTCCAGACATAATCTGAATAATGCTTCCATATTCAAGCTCTCTTGTCACCGTTCTGTTGGTTTAATATTAAACTTACGACTTTACATTTCCATATGTTCTTTTTTATAACCTTTTAAGTTCACAGTATGCCAATAACACACCCACCTTTCTAGCTTTTGAAAAGAGATCATACAATTTAAATCAGGGCTTGAGCTTTCCATTTGTTTTGAGTCAACAGGTAAAAGGCAGCCAGAGCCTCCAGATAAAATTTATCTGTCATTTTTTGTTAAAATGACAACAGTGAGGATACAAATCAGTCTGCTGTGGCACTCAGAAAACAGCATCTGAGGCCAAGGGAATGAGCGCCACTTGTTCAGTAGTACAAGAGGGAAATTGCCCCCCTCTGCAGCACACACAATATTGCAGGTGCTTAAATTATTCATCCTGTAGGAACGCTGGGGTCTCACTCAGAGCCAAAACTCCAGCCTCTTAATCTCCACTTTATATTCCATTTTATATTATACAGTTTTGTTTACTCTGAAAGGGAGATAAAGAGCTCTCTTTTTTTCCCAAAGGCATAAAGGTCTAGCTTTGTTCCTACTATTGAGAACAAAGAAAACAGTTGTGTGTAATTTTAATATATCACTATGCAACATTTTCTGTCAGTTGGCTTTGTCTTCCTGGCAAACAGGCATAAGAATTGCACGCATTTGGTTCTTGAGTAATAGTGACCCAAAGAATGCCAAATTAATGAATTACCCAGGGCTTGCACTACTACTGATTTTTAATAGTCAACTAGTCGTCCAGAAAAGTAATTGACGAGCTGTTGTTGGTCATTGTTTACCTTATGTAAATGATTCACCATATGCCATTTAGCTTTCTTTGCTGTTTCTGGCAAGTTGTGCTGATGGATGGAAAGGGTGTGAGCGTAGATGGAGAATGTCCGAGCAAGCACTCATATCTCTCCATCGCCAGATTCATGCTGCTTGCATTGAAAATAAAATGGCATGCAGAGCAAAATAGTCATGTAGGCCTAGTTTCTGTCAATGTTTGTGCAATACTTGACTTGTTTCAGGGGAAATACACACATTTTGTCTTGTATTTGAACAAACCACATCAAGACCATCTCAATTTACAGTACTTATAGCATGTTTTATGTATACAAAAAATTACATTTTGTTTAAACCTTTGTTAAATTTCTGTTGAAAATCAGTGTTGTGACTTGCAGAGGACAGAGAGACTAAAATAGCACGTTTTAATGTGAATTAGCAGCTACTGTTTTTGAATTCATATCCACATTTAAGGCAATAAGACATTATTATCCAGAGTGACTTACAAACAATGGAGAATGCTTCACTTTGTTAATAGCATGCACAGTCATCCACTTACTCCAGTCGTTTTCAGTGTGTATTAGTGACGTATTTACCCAGAATAGCCCAGTTTGGGTGAGCCCTTCTGTTTCTACTGGGGTCTTGAGGTTCAAGTGGTATTGACCTGCCCTGGGACCCTCTCCCTGGGGCCACGGTGATAGGACTGCTCCAGGGACCGCCATTAGTCCCTCCCTCTGCAAAGAGACTCACTGTACTCAGTAACTTTCACTTACTCAAGTGAAAGTTATTTTAAAGGACGCCAACTGAGATTAGAAAGAACATATGGTGGGCTATATTAATTGATTCTGTTAAATGGATTTAACAAAGGAAGAATAAGCTACTTGTTTTTCCAGATCTTCAGATGCTACTGTGATACATATGATCCTGTTAATCGAATGTTTCTGCTGTCGTAGTAATGAAAGTAATTTTTGCATTCAAAGTCAATCAATCACATTGCAGAGCAATTAACAGCACATCTGAAACAGACAATGCTCAGCTAAACACAAAGACGAAGAGCTGTACGTTGGGGAGGCGAAGACACAAAAACAAGATTAAAGCCATATAATACAAAGCTGGAAAAAGCACAAAAGGATTTGACAACCTGGAACACCCAACAAAAAGAATAAGGGAGCTAGTCAGACCAAAGGACCCAAAGACTGTGAACAACAACGAGAAGAAGATGCATTCACAGGCAAAGAAAAGGAGATGGCAAGGTTAAAACAGGGGGAATCAACATAAAGCAGAGGTGAGGCAAAAGAGAATTATGGGAGTATAGTTCTAAACAAAACTAGAGCAAGCACAGGAAGTCCAAACCCAGCATCTGAATATATGTACTTCCTTAATAAAATATTATATAGGATGGCAAAAGCAGTATGTCCAAATATGCAGTGCTTATGAAACCGTATGTAAAAAAACAAACACAAAAAAACAAAACAAAACAAAGGACACTTTGCTATCCCACGAGGCCATGGAAGAGGAGTAAGAGAAGTCAAATATTGCAGAACAGTGATTTGGCTGACTTTGTAAGTCACATGACAATGCCAACATGGCAAATGTATTATACTTGGGGGGATAAAATAAAATAAACAAAACTATAGGCCTAAATGTTACTCAAATGGTAGTACGTGAGTTAATTTTATTCAAGTCAAAACACAATTTAAAATCACTAAATCAACATGAATACATTAGGTTACACAAACAGAAATAAATGTAAAGAGATAAACTGCTCAGTCAGTATGATTTTTGAAAGAAGACTCACCAAGGCTGCATTTATTTGATCAAAATACGGTAAAAACAGTAATATTGTGAAATATTATTACAGTTTAAAATAACTGTTTTTATATATTTTAAAATTTAATTTATTCCTGTGATGGCAAAGCTGAATTTTCAGCAGCCATTACTCCAGTCTTCAGTGTCACATGATCGGTGTCACCTAAGGTAACAACTGAAGGTCAACAACAACAGAAAACAACAGAAAGTCCAAGATACTTTTGAGTGCTGTTGAGATACTCGCTCCCATAAAGACCCATAGCAATCAGTTACATGAGAACTGCAAAAATGAAATAAACCATATTAACAAAAACTATTACTGTATTTATAAAAGGGGGTCTGAATACTTTCCGTACCCACTGTATATTTTAAATATAAACATTAAAAATAGCTAATTGATTTTCTAGGAATTACAATTCAGCAACAATGTGAATATATTTACTCTGCAGTCTATGAAATATTGTTACTAGGACTGATGGTAAATTAATGATGTTGCTGTGATCGTGGGAGGCCTTTATACTTCACTTTATATTTGTAGCATAAAAAGGAGTGAAATGAGAGCACAGCAGAAGATTTGAGTGAGGGGGGTTGATAATTTGTAAGACTGGGACACAGCCAGGAACAGCTGGATACCAGGGCAGCTGTTTTTTCTTTAATTATTTTTTATTTTTTTTGTAGGTCCTGAATGTTTGTGAAGAGCAGCTGTGATTAGACTAACAGAGAGAATAAAACAGAGAGATGCTCTGAGAGGAAGTGCGGTGCGTCTAGTCTGGTCCAATTGTAGGTCATGAAGCAAAGGCATGATTAGAAGAGTCAGAGGCACGCCGAGATGAAAATCATGTATTAATGTTTCTTTTCCCTCATGGCTTTCAACTTTTATTCATTTGCAACTTTTCTCATCCTTTCTATCACTTGTTCTTTCATGCCCTGCCAGCCTCTCTTTTCCTTTCCCACCAAGCGCTTGCCAAACCCTCGGTGAACCAGAGGTCTTGGTGAGATTGTGCTAGCCGATTCCTCATTATATTGAAAGGCTTTAAACTCTGAGCGACAGACAAAATTTTCAAGAGATTTCCAGACAAAGCCAACATTTCTCAACTGTCTGGACAACACTACCAACATTGGAGTCCAAAAGCCAGAGACCACTAATGAAATGCTTCTAATTTGCATTTTTTTTTTACATTTAATACAGTTTATTTATTAGAAATTGCATTGTCAGGATAACAGTTTGAGTTAAATTGAGTTGATTAGTGGCCCATTTTTTTTTATTCATTCATTTATTAGTAGTATTATTCATTCATTTATTAGTATTTTTTAACATAGAAGTCTAAAATGGAGATTAGTTAGTATGTTTTAGTTTAAGTGTTGGTGTAGTTGTATAGCAGCTGTTTATAAATCCTTTGCGCAGTGATTTACAGGATTACTACTTCCTAAAAGTCCATTTATTACTGTCTCCTGTGTGCATCCCTCCCACCTGTTTAAAAACAGAGTAATTATGTGGTTGCCCTATCTACCTACTCCCTTACTGGCACTTTTTGCTGTGGTAATTGTGTAAATTTTGCATGCATCTGTGGTGACTGGCCGAGGCTGGAGCTGGCACGGACATTGCCCCTACTGATTCCAGCTGTCAGCAGTGTCTATTAACAATGATGAATCACTCCCCCACTTCTCAATCCAATCATAGAGACCACAGCAGGCCTTAGATCTGGTCACCTCTGACGAAATGATTTTTGGACAGAGTGGGGCGGCACGCCAGAGCACCCGGTCAACACTTTGTGTTAGATTACGCTATTAGCCTGCAGGCTTCTGAGCTTTACATCTTCCAGCCTGCCCTTGTAACTGTGGTATGTTACTCAAATGGCAAAGCAAGACACACAACCACCACAACATGTAGAGCTCTCTGTTTTTAGCAGCTCTTTGTATTCATACTGGCATGCAAAGACAAGCAGAGTAACTTCATATGTTGTCATATCAGAATTATGATTAAACTGGGTCTCTTAGAGTCTGACCTATAACCTATGACAGATAGGTCTGGCTCAGTTATGCTCAAATCAATAGCAACCTTGTCATATCAGAATTATGATTAAACTGGGTCTCTTAGAGTCTGATCTATAACCTATGACAGATAGGTCTGGCTCAGTTATGCTCAAATCAATAGCAACCTATCAAAATTTAATCTATTATTATTTTTTTTTTTATTCTCTCGCCGTTTCAGTGTTGGTGTAGTTACTGCATGTTGTCTTTGTAAGACAGTAGACATTTATGTCATTGCACCCATATACACACATCAATGCTGTTAGTGTTAACTAAACACACTAAAAATAAAAATAATTTTAAAATGTTAATTGAAATTAAAGTGCAATAAAATGTAAATAATATTTAAAAAATATATAATTATTATAATTATTGTTTTATTTATTAATGTATTATAAAAACGTGGGAAAAAACATGAAAAACATACTAAAAAAAATAATGCTTTGGCAACTAACGGAAATAAAATAAGTTTAAACTGAAGTACTAAAATTACTAAACCTAAAGCTGAAATAAAAATAATTTAAAGAGAAAAAACTAATAAAAATGACAAAAAGTACATGATTACTTGTAAATGATTACAAGATCAAATAAAACTTATTCTAATATTAATAATAGAATAGAAATAATTCTAAACTAACACTGACAAACACGTACAGACATGCACAAACATATTTAACTTAAAATAACATTAGAAGAAAAACAATTTACAATTAAGTGAAATTAGTTTTTCATGCTGTTATCAGTGAGAGTGTTTGATTTCCCTATGCTGTGCCTCAGAGGAGAGCAAAACAATAGCATGAATAAATGATGAAAGTGAACAGGGGCTGCCATAACACTAAAAACTTCAACAAACTGCAAATCTGCAAAAACCTTTTCACTGCCAGAGTCTTTGGTAGCACAGCTGAATATGCTGCCACAGCTATTACAGTTGCTAAAACACAGACATATGCAGTATGTGCAGTATATGCAGTATCACATATTGGTGATGTACAACTTTTGAAAGTCTAAAATAAACAAAGAAACCATTTCATTGCCAAAAATACTACATTGAATTGCATAGGCAGAGTTGTTCCATCAGCATTCTGCATCATAGATAGTAGATGCTATCATCTTTTTCATCTCTCTTTTCATCGGTGTGGCCCTGCAGGTTAGAAGTCAAGGTCAGTGGGTATCAATCACTATTCTTAGCTTTCCACTTTTCTCTCACCATCTCCCTCACCGTCAGGAGAATGTTTGACCTCCAGAAAGCAGAAAGACAGATGGTGGACTGGATGTGATGGGGTTATGTGATGAGCTCTATGCCACATAAAATCTAGTTGACATCATGCTGTACAGTCAGTCTGTTAACATTTCCCTCAAGAGCTCCTCAGTCCTCCATCAAAGCCCTAAATGTTCTCTGCACGTCTCTACACTTCATCAATGGCATGTAGCCAATAACAAGCTCAGTGTTGACAGGGGTGAGCTGATCTCTTAAAGGGGAACGGTGTTAATCGAGATCAATGGCTTTCTATTAATTTTGTTACCCAGATCGTACACTGGACATCATCTTGTGACCCAAAATAATAAAAAATAATTTATTGTATAAAGTGTGTCACAAAATATGTAACAAAATGTCCTTTAAAAATTGCATTGTATAGTAATATTACCATGTGGTACAAAAAAAAAGACAAGCTATTTCTAAACACATTTCTAAACAAATTAATATTTTCTAATTGATGTAGATTCATTTCTAAACTGCAAAAAAACAATTAATCAAAAATAAAAAGATTTTTAAAAAAGAATATTAGTACACAAGTTTTAGTACAAATTACAGCTGTAAGAGTATAATCTTAAGAGCAAAATCTTAAAATACAAATCTTAAAAAAAAACCTGTTTTTTTCACTGATGCCATTTGAGATTTTGTCAGACTTGTATGGAACTGCTTTGCATTTCACTTGAGTTTTAGCATGTCCTATGCTGTACTGCAACTGTATACCTGAGCATTACCAACAGACAGATACTCCTCTGATCCATCTAAACGGAAGAGCTAAGGCGACAAGAAAAAGAGAGAAACAAAAAAATCGATGGTTTATTGTACTCACAGCTTCAAGTTTCTATTTTAACATGGCTCGCTATTGATTAGCTTTCATAGCTGAAGTCTCCCTGAGCAGAAGCTCGCTCCAGGAGGATAGAAGAGAGTTTAGCAGAACAAAACCCACAAAATAGAGCTAGAGATAAATGTCTAATAGAGCTGGGAAATGATAGCCTGATGCTTCCTTGGCCTGCTTGATCCGCACTAACAGTCCCTGCTTAAACACGGTCAGCGTACAGTTGCCAACATGAAAGGCATATTGCGTGATGGACTTTCCCAGAACAGCACCGTGGTGCACAGAGCTTTTATAGCGGGGAATGGAGGCTGACTTCGAAGGGTGAATCGTTTAAGGAGAGCTTGCCAAGTGCTGTGCTCCCACTCCCGCTAAAATGAAAGGAGTTCCGGTGCTTTGTGTCAAAAGAGGCATCAAACACCTGTGCAACGGAGAGCAATGCTGGGTCGGCAGTGTGTGGAAACGGCAGAACTGTGCAGAAGTGCCATGTCTTTGTAGACATTAAATACTTGCTAATTAAAAACCCACGCTACATAATACTTGTACTATAATCTTACATAAATTATGTTCATGTTCTGCTGTCATGGTGAGTTTATGGTGACCAGCGTACTCTGTGAAACAGTGTGTTCTCGGTCTGGAACTGATTAACCCTAGCGCTGCTTCGGCACTAGCTATGTGTTGACAGCTTCACAGCGTCATGTCAGTATAGGGATTTTCTGAAGTGTTGCACGGCAAGTCTGGAAGGTCATACCACTCACACTGCCTAAAGTTGACAACAAAGGGAAAGGGAATGCTAGAACCTTCTGCTAACCACAAAACATCACAATTGCAAAGAAAACATACTAAATGTTGATAAACAGAAAGACAGATAGATAGATGGGTGATACACAGATGGAAAGATAGATAGATTTCATTTTGAGTGCTAGATGACTTTCATATCTCCACAATGGCAGCCACACAGTTGTTGCAACAAAAAGCACTCCAGAGAGGCCACAAAACAACAAATTTATACAGCGTCTCATCCTTATTCATAGCCATGCTTTCTGAAATTGTTTGATGTCCTGTTCTTTTTCTCATGGCTACCCCATCATTTAGGCAATTTCAGCCCAGCCAACTCAAGCAGCATAGCAGACTGGCTATTACACTTTGTGTCACATTCTCCCCCCGGCCCCATTTATTTCACAGGGCCACTGAATGCTAAATGACAATTGGCTTATATTGCCAAGGACTTTATCAACAAACTCCCAATTTTACACCATGCATCCCCATGACAATAATGGCTTTTGTTTTCAAACTTGTGCATTTTTATTTCCCCTCGCAACAAGATTAAATTACTACTGCCGAGGCCAAGTTCAGATATTCTGCAACAGAACATGGTAGAAACAGATACTGCTGAGATACAAAAAGAAAGTGTTTCAGCATAGGAGAGTAAAGGGTGCTCAGAGTGTTCAGGCGCTTAGTTTCTTTCGGTTTTCCTCCTGCATAAAGCCTAATGATGTGGAGGTAATACAAAGTCAACTCAGATCAGAGGACAAGAGAGTGCCAAATAAGTGTGAATAAACTAGCTGTGAAACGTGGTGCTTTCCTCACTCCTTTAAGCGTACTATCTCCTACTTACTAATTCCCTCTATTTACAACCTTTCCTTGCAGTTTTAGTGAGAAATCCTAATTATGGTGTTCCTTTTCCAAGCGTTTGTATAATCACACCTAAAACCTTCTACTGCTATTGAAAAGTTGCATTTTGAAAGCCAGTGTTCTGGTGTCCCCTCCAGAATTCTTAAAGGGATAGTTCACCCAAAAGAAAATTCTGTCATCATTTAGGCTACTCAGCCTTGTTGTTCCAAACCTGTATGATTTTATTTCTGTAGAACATAAAAGAAAATATTTTGAAGAATGTTGTTAACCAACCCAGTTCCCAATAAATTCCATTTTATTTTTTGTCCGTACAATGCAAATCAATGGGAACCGAAACTGTTTGGCTACCAAATTTTTTTAACATGTTCTTTGTGTTCCACATACAGATTTGGAACAACATCAGAGTGAGTAAATGATGACAGAATTGTCATTTTTGGGTGGACTATCCCTTTAAATATTCTAACCGGCAAAACTTGGAAAACGAAAAATGTAAAAACACCCGAAAACTTCATTCAGGCCAGGTGAACGGGATCTCAGTCAACTTCCCATCTAAACAGTTTACATTTCCCTGTCCTCACCTATTTGTTGACATTTCAGGCCATTTCGAAGCAAGACATCTGCATTTATGAGCAGAGGGAGACACACCTGCAAACCCAATCCATCTGTAGCAGCTCTACTATAGAAACTAGAAACTTTGACCCCTGCGTCACCCCGTCTTTGGATTTGTTTTATTGGCATTGAGGCATATGAGAGCACTTCAGGCAAATAAGGGGCAATAGTCCCAAGAGAGAGGAAGCCCTGCAGCATTCAATAAGCCATTTAATCGAGTGGAGAACAGCCATCAAAACAGGTAAAACCCAGCAGGATACTCAGCAGGAAAACAGGGGGAGAGGTAGTTTTCATGAGGACTCAGTATGTTTCTCACAGGCAACACACAACTGTGCTCAACACCGCAATAGAGCACAGCTGTGTTTTATAAAGGGAGACCATAACATTAACATAACATTTTGTGTCTGGCTATTTTAGCTTTTATTTTTAAATATGCTGTCAGTGATGTCATGAACAATATAGAATTTTACTTCTTTAAAGTGTGGGATTTCAAAAACAAATGGCTGCAAATGCAATGATGGTAAAAATTGCAGACATGTTCCATTTCTGAGATTTATAGCTGTAAAAATGATTATCTAAGGTGACATAAATTAATTATGTAACACTCAGCTAACAAATTCAAACTCACTCCTTCTAAACTACAGTATCAATGTAAAATATTAAATATTATATAGGGTAATAGGTATTGAAATTTATATTCAAAGGTCCTCTAAGTTCATTTACTGGCCAGACAAATTAAAGATGCAGCCCAAAATTATCATAAGCATAACTATATTGCTGAGACATTTAGACTCGCTTATTGTTACCATATCTCCACCACATTAAAACAAACACATAATGTAACTAAATCAGCCCAAACAAATTAAACATGTAAATTAAATTAAAACAAAAGTTCATCTTTAATCTTCTAACTGTTAAGAAGGAACTGATAATAACTCTGTGACCTACTACTCCCAGACACCAAGACTGTAGTCTGCTTTGTCTCAGTGTCTGTGTCATAAATCCCCATGTAGGTGGGGAACTGATTCTCCGCTTGGCCTGTTCTTAGCCGTGGAACTCAGCCGTCAATCAACGTAAAAAGCTTTCCACCAGGGAATAAGGAGCACCCTCAGATTTAGAGCACTCTTCCGTAACTTTCTGCACTCACAGCCACAGAAAGAGAGAGCGGGAGGGAAAAGTAGCTAGGTACATGTTATTTTAATTACTGTGGTGTTTACCACCTTATTCCGGTTCCCTAAGGGAAGCTCTACCCAGGCTTTGTGGTTCTTCGCTTTCATTATTTTGATTGACATGACTTACCAGTGACATTGCATTTGGAAGGTTTAAGTTTCTTCTCAAGTTTAAGTTTTTTTTTTTTTTTACTACAAATCTGTAACAGCTGGGAGTCCGTCGTTAACACACTTTCACACAGTAACCATTATCTATAAGTAAATGTTACCAAAATATTAATTTATTATTTAAACATTATTTAGTAATAAAATATTTATTAGTACATATTTATTCATATAAAAAAATTATTATACATATTTTTTATTTGATATTTTTCAAAAATCAGTCATAAATAATGCATTTCAAGAAGCATTTAAAAATATTTTAATGCAAGTTGTTAATCAAATTAAGTGTTCTTCTTCTTCCTTTACCCTCTCTGTCTAATGTTAAGAAAATCAGTTGGTGCAGAAAATGAAAACTTTCAATCTGACTTCGTCTGGCGCTGTTAAACCTTTGCTGTCACCATCTGTTGTGCACACCTTTGACAACGCATCACCGCTCTTTTTTTATTAGGGCCCTCTCCATGCTGAAGTAGGGAACAACATTGCCACCTAGAGGATGATCCAAGCCAGCATCCAGCATCTCAGGCCAGATTCACACAACCCCTGCAACCCTTACAAACATTTTGCCTCAGTATCCCGAGCCACATTTAAAAAGTAACTTCATTGCAGCCCCTCCCCCAAATAAAACATTCAAATGCTATACTGTCACATCAGCAACACCTCGCATCGGCTGCATACCCGGACCAAACTATTGCATTGCCCCAAGAGTTGGCTGAAGTGTACGGCATTTATAATGGTTCACTGAGCACTAACCATGAACATTCAGAACTATATCTCCCCATGCAAGATCCAGAGGATCAGAGACCAGAAGATAGCATGCATCCACAAGGGCATATAGAGGAAAAAGAGGGAGGAAAACAAGTAGGACATGGGAGAAAATACCATTCCCACTGGTTAAACTACACCAAATCTAAGTCTTTTTCCACATAGCAATAAAACCAACAGGCTTTATTTGATCCACTTGTTGTTAAAACAAATTAAGCGGATTAAAAAAGCACATCCTACCTGAATAGATGGGAGCAAGTCGAAATATATCAGAAAGCCGGCTGTTCACAGGCTCATATGGAGAATCCTCAAGTAAATCATTCCCTGTAATATTAACAAATAACATGTGACTAAATACCAATAATTAAATTCTACATCAATTATAAAATCTTAAGTGCATCATAAATGTCATTATTAAATGTGAGGGTCAAACTATAAAGCTGTAAACTCTACTTTATGTTAGTTGGCATTTGGGTCATTGATTCATGAGATGGATTTACATTTCTGGAGCCAGTTTCTGGTTGATTAGCTATACTGGTCAGTTGAGCCCCCCTCCAGCACACATACATATACACTAACATAAAGCATCAGATGACCTCACACTCCATAAACTTTAATGGACACACTTCAGAGAGGAGTTTGAAGACTTTACAGTGACCCTATCTGATAACAGAACCCAGAAAAGCAACTTCCTTGGCTTAGTATTATTGGTTGCTAAGTATTAAAAATAAACAATGTCAGAAAAAAATATCATTATAACTTTATACAGCAATTTGAAGCTAAATATTGTCACAGCTTCATATGTTTACAGTGCACTATAGAAGAAGGCAAGTCCGCGCACCCTGTAAATGCTGATAGATCCCCCAGTAGATGCGCAGGCAGTTCTTTTCTTTCTTCATGCCTCTTTTACAGCGGCAGTTATACAAAGGGCTCTGCTTTAAAGCGTCCAGTGCAAGCCGGCATTCATCCTTCGCCTCCACTCCAGTCACCATACTGAAGTTGCTCTCCCTCCCCGCCACGCACTGCCTCATAGTTCGATACTTTGTGCTGCATCCCGGCTCCTTCAAACACAGCTCGTTCGCCTTCACACAGTCCAGCCGGTTTGAACTAGTAAAGTAAGACTCCTCGGCAGATAACAGCACATCTATGGAGGACGACAATAGAAATAATCATATCACGGACAGGATCGAGTTTTATTGAAATGCCTCAACAACTAGGCTACTCGAGACTGTTACAAAAGACTTTTTTTTGTACATGAAACATTTCTCGAGTTGATATTGTTCAAGATTATAAGGATTTAATAAACTTAAGGTGCTTTAGAGATTAAAACATTAACACAAGATTTGAGCAGACTTAAGTGGAAAGTAAAACAGCTGATCCTCAAAAGCTAAAATTTGCCCTAGTTTTGAGACAATTGTAACATAGGCTAGAATATATTTATATATTGGACAGAATCAAAAAGACTACAATATGAGAAACTCTTTTTCTTATGGTCTTGTGATTACATCTGAGTTTTAATCTTAAATACAATGCTGCGTGTCTGTGTACTAATCAATTGCTATATCATTTAGGCTACCAATCAATCACTGAATATGTAAAATCGCATTCAAACTCACCCCACAGCGGTAAAACGATGTAAATCGCGGCGAAAATCATTGCGCTTTTTATCCGTGGGTAAGTTCGTTCAAACACGCAATTTATTGTTTTGACGATGAAAAGAACAATCCTTTCTCATTCAGGTCCATTGAAACATCGTTAGTCACAATGTACATCCAGAGTAGGCTATATAAGAAAAAAACGTTCCGTAACCTAGTCCAAAACTGTCACTAACCGATATGGAATGGTTTATTGGATTAAGACTCATAGACAACGTTACAAAAAGAAAATGAGTCGCGAGGCAGCAGAATAAAACTCCAGCTCTCAAGATATGCTCGTGCGACTGAGCGCGCGACAGCACTGTGGCATTCAGTTGCGCTGTAACCCAAACCAAAAACCACACGCGACTCAGTGCACGCTCAGCGCTTCTGCGTGCAGCACGGCAACAGGACAAAGACATCCAGTTTTGCCACTCCAAAACTTATCGTGTTTACTGCTCTCTGTTATTGTGTAACTATATATGGGGGTTATGCAAGTTGCTTGCTTTCTATTTCTCGTCAGTTGGTGATTGTGTTTAAGAAATGGCACTGCTGACGCTGAAAGCGCATTTGTTTGCCTGGCCTGTAGATGGTGGTTGGGCAGTCTGGTCTGAATGGTATTATATGAGTAGATTAGTCTGGTATGACACTGGTACGTTGCTAACCAGTCAAATCAAGTAGGGTAAATAATTTACACGTATTGTTCCGCGTAGGCCTATCAAAGTCTAAATATCCAGATGCGTGTACATACTTATTAAATAAAATACTACGAAACTACGAAGACATAGGCGATATCATCCAAATATAGTTTTGTTTCATGCATGATGATCACATATAGGTGACATCATCATGAAGACCGTCCCTTGGCGGTAGTAATTTATCAAACATGCAAAGACATATTCTCATTAAATAAAAATAGGCTAAATTGCCTATACAAATAACGAATGCAGATTTATTTAAGAACGTTATAATAGGCTACTTATTTGGCCATGAAACATTTAAAATGACTTTTTTTTCTTTAACGTAATGACAATATTTGAATAGTTACTATGCTATGTCTTTCATTCTCAAAGTTTTGGTGCGATCTCGTTCACAGTAGTTTTGCTTATTGAAAGACTGGTGGAGGTCGCCATCTGTTGGTACGTATGTGCATCTTACTAATGAAATGACTAGACCAGTGGTTCTCTTCTCTCCAGAAAAGGTAGTTGATTTAGTACCTTTTAATAGACACAAATCAGGGTCATTAGCTATAGCTAGCCTAACTAAAAAGAAAAACACATTTATTTGTTAACTCAACTGTAATAGTTATTAATAATAACTAATGTAATAGTTAATGCAAAAAAAACAATGTATAAAAAAATAAGAATTTGTCATTGTGGAAATTGTAAAACACTACTACTCTGCTCTAGCCAAAAGCTGAACATGAGTGACTGTCTCTGAAGAGTGAAAAAGCACACAGATTTTATATATTTTAGATCCAACAATTGATAAGGGGAAAACGGAAAGTTTGTTTGCCAAGTTTAAACACTGAATTGAAAAATTGTTTGGGTTATCAGAGGTGAGTGTAAAGTTCCTGATTTTTCTCCAAATTCAGAAATATGACATGTTGAGTCCTGTTCACAGTGACAGTGTTCCTACTAAAACATAGCCTAAGTGTTAACAGATTTAGTTTTAATTATTATTTAAATATAATTTGTTAAAAAAAAAAGATTTTTAGGACATTACTTTCCAGCTGAGAACCACTGGAATATCCTTGTGTTGAGGGCACAGGCTGGTGGATTACATTCTACTTATTCTGTCCTATTAATTCTTTTTACAATTTAATGGCTTTATAGTTAACTATGGTTAAACATAAATCCATATCTCCTTACCAATGAGATGAACTTTTACATGAGAAAGAAAAATCGAAAACTTTTGATATTTATCCTTATGTCCATAGTTAATTAAGGATCAATTACTCTGACCAAATCTATTGACAACTGTTCAATCAAGAGTCATGCTTCTCGTCTGGTTTAAATGCATTTCTCAATTAACCTGAGTTCATTTCATTCTAATAACCGTAAGTGGAGAACTGGGTTTCTACAGGCCATTGGTGACAAGCAGGGTTCAAGATCATTTGAAATATTCCCCTCACCTCATCGCTCTTTCTCTCTCGCTCTCTTAATGGGAATTATCTGAATTGTAATAACTAAATCGATTTAGGCCTGGCTCCAGCACTAAGATTTAAGGTGGGCCGGACAGTTGGGGTGGTGGGTGTTGGATGGTTTCTTGGATGGGCCAAGGCCTGATTTGCACTGTATCATACAATAAATGAAACTGTTTTGATTTAAGAGTTTGATTGTTGAAGAAAAAGTCTGAAAAACATGAAACTCATTTTGCAAATGAATGTCAAAATGATATAGTCACCGTCATATAAACTAGAACACTTTAATGTGCTGCATGGCACCAAATCAAGACCATTCTTTCCAGCAGTGTTTGGGAAACTGGAGAAATTAAAGAATGACGTGACAAATGCTGGACCAAATGGCACCAAATTAAAGTTATTGATTACTGACTGTGCTTACAAACGCCAAACAATATGGAAACTGACAGTTTAAATGGCACTTCAAAGTAGGCTGGTGATGAACTGAGCTATCTCATGGGCTTACACATTTCTCACAGGTGGTGTGTCTAGGTACACCTCTGCCAGTGGATCATCGGTGGGTAGGCTACTGCAAGGCTATTTATCAGACAGCCACTGCCTGGAAGTTAATGCCATTGTCAGTATCCACTCTACATGCTCTCAATGGGGTAACGCCAGTGCAACTTCTGAAGAATTTGATCTGAAATAATAATGAGAATAAAGTCACCTGACTCCAGGTACCAAGAACAGATTCCTCTTCTTTTGCCATCTTTACACTGCTAAGGAGGCAGATAAACTGCATCTGATGTGGTATATATACAATGAAACAGTCCATTTAAACATTAAGTTGCACACGTAAGTTACAATTAAATAATATTATGCTTGAAATATAAAATTATAAATAAAGAAAAACATAAGTAGATATAGCTATAGTATAGATACATATACTAGTTCTGGTCTACCAAGAAGTTAATCGTAGATTAGGCAAAGTTTGTTTATTTGCGTTAATCAACATGAATTAAAGTGTATAGTGCGGACTGGAGGAGAAAATCGTTGTTGCTGCGCATGCGTTTACGCTCAGTAAACAGGTACTGCGCATGCGCATCGCGTGAGTAGCGTAGCCCTCTCATCTACTACGTTTATTTTGAAACGCTTTCCCCGCGAAACACCAATTACAAACTAACCTTTCCTCCTCATTATTATTGTTATAATAATAAAAATGAGTCTAGACACTCTTTTTGAGCAAATTTTATTGACAGAGCAGCAGGTGTCAGAAAATATCAAGCAGCTTCATGAAGGTAACAGCAGATTAGTTAACGGTTAATTTGAGATGAGCTTGCGAGTGTTTTTAAACGTGAAGAAACACCAATATAATTATTTCACATTAAATATTTCAATATTTCTTAAGTTTGTACAAAATTAAGCTTGTAGCGTTAGAAAATGTTCGTTATTTTGCTCATTCAGTTAAAGCTGCCATCAAGAGTGTACAGGACAAAATAAACTCCTCACGTGAAAAACTGGAGGAAGCACATCGTGAGCTGGATGAGAAGGTATGGTCGGTTACTCGGTGTTTAAAAAGGGACGCATAATGACAGATTAGAAAAGATTAATTTCCCTTTTCATTTTTCTTAAGTGTTCTGTGAATGTATAGGCCTACCTCAGATAGAAATATTGCCACACAGCAAAGGATGTGCACTGTCACTCATCTTAAAGTTTATCTGTGCAGAAAGCTGATATGCAGTATTAATATCCTTTGGCGCTGTGAAAAGGCATTCTGTTTAATGATTAAAACACTTCATCTAATGGACAGGATACATTAAAATGGAGTGGATCAATTCAAAGCGGCACTGCAAAATCAATCTAGTTTCTTTCAGATTACATTAGTATTATTGTTGAAAACCTTTAAAAATACAATTAACCTTGCAAACATATGGTATACAGTTTGTTTGCTACCAATGTCAGACATAGTCAATGAGCAATTGAATCATTTGATTAAAGAGGTCATTACATGAATACTGAGGTCAATACAGAGACTGACTATAGGATTCTGAAAGCAGATGTGTCCTATTCACATAAACTGATAATCATGCAGTGAAGATACATATTTGTATAAAATGTATGTTTTGCATTTTCACAATTCATCCATTATGCATTGTGGCAAGTTTAAAACATTTAGTACAGACTCCTTGAATGACCTCAGTGATCCACCTGAGATAGTGAATGTCACAAAAGACGTGTCTAATTTTCTGCGTAATATGTTTGGTAAGACCAACGTGTCCAGTGTAATTATGAGACGTAATTTGCGTGCATTCTTTGAAGCCAGGTAGAGAATAATTACCTGAAGGATCATTGATGTCTTTCACACTTGACTGAGCTGGTAAAAGGAGAGAAGCAGAGACTTGAATTCCAAAAGGCACTGCTATGCCAATTACAGAATGACCTACAAACAAAATGACATAAGCTTACCTTAACCAACAGCACTGAAGCCACTGATCGGACAGATGAGCAACATGCTGTGCTGCCGCAATGTCTTTGGGCAGCCAGTTAGAAAACGTCACTGCTGTGAATGCAAAGTTTATTTTGTGGGACGCTTCATTTGGGGACCATCTGACACAAGACACTGATCAAATTCATGATTAATTTGTGATCATAGGCTCAGCTCCTGGCTGAAACCAAACTGCAGTTTGTATTGATGACAAAGCAACAAGATCAGCTGGTAAGGCAGAAAGAGGAACTCCTTGGAATGCAGAGAGATCTCAAAGAAAACCTGGTACATACAACCTTCCACATTGGAGTTATACTCCTTCTTTTTGGAAAGACCATTGTCTCTTAATTACACACTCCATTAAAACACAACAAAGTTAAGTCTGAAACAATATTATTATAATTATGAAAATAGTCACCATCATGTGGACTGATAAAGAAAGTTTTCAGACCTAGCATTATCCATCATCCACTACAATGCACACGCGGAAGTGTTAAAATAATGCTTTTGTACTATTTGTAATCTGCATAATAGCCTTTCCATTATTTTAAAATTCAGGACAGACTGAAAAGAGAATCCTGTGAAGAAAGAGAGAAATTCTTGAAGGACATGATAACTTTCAACAGTGAATACAACCTAATCAGCAACAGAAATGCTGTTTTTCACACCCAAACCCTATCTAAAATCCAGAGCTTGGAGCTGGAAGCTGAAACTCTACACAAAGGTGAACGTTTTTTTTATTATTGTTTTTAAA